AGAGAGAGAGAGAGAGAGAGAGAGAGAGAGAGAGAGAGAGAGAGAGAGAGTGTGTGTGTGTGTGTGTGTGTGTGTGTGTGATGGGGGTAAAGAGGGATGGAGAAGGGAGGGAGTGGGCGGATGGATGTTGATGTGGGAGGTGTGGATGCTGATTTGGGAGGTGGGCTGTGTTGAGGTTGCTTCGTGTCGCTTCGTGTCGCTCACCCTCGCCTTGCTCACCACCACGTCCATTGTGATGATGGTGATGGTGACGGTGTCTGTGTCGTCAGTGTCTTGACGGTGTGGCGGCCGGAGAACACGAGGGACCAATCGCCGTCGTCACAAACAGAGAGGTGCGGTCTGATGATGGTGATGGTGATGATGATGGTGATGGTGGTGCTGCTCCGCCCTTTGTTGCTGCTGTTGCGCGTGTTTGTTGGTGTCTGTATTGAACCACCCACGACTACCTAACCACTGCTCACCAACCACCAACCAACCAACCAACAACTGCTCACCACTGTGCAGGGTGCGATGTCGCCGCGTCTAACAGAGGACCAGCACGTGCGCCGCCTGTCCAAGCTGTTCCCCGAGCTGTCCTCGGATGCCATGCTGCACACCCTGCGCTCAACCGACAACGATGTCCAGCGCACCGTCAAGCTCCTCTCCGAGCAGGACAGCAGGGTAAGGCGGCGTCGCTTTACGTGCATTATCTGCATTGTGTGCATGTTTTTGTGTGTGCGCGCGCGTGTGTGTTTCTGCTTTGTGATTTCCCTTCCTGTTCACACTCACTTCCATTCACCACCACCTCTTCGCACCACCACCACCACCACCACCACCACCACCACCACCACCACCACCACCACCACCACCAGCCGATCACGGTTGTGCGCCCTGCTCCCCAGCGCGCTGCGTCCATCTCCGACGAACTCGCCCGCCCGTCCCCGCGCACACACGCGGCAGACGCCCGCAAGCGCCCAACATCAGACTACAGCGGGGTGCGTGAGCTGTAAGCATTTGTTGAGTGTATGTGCGTGCGCGTTTGTGTGAGCTGTACTCGAATGTAGTACACTTTTCTCCCACACGCATGGCTGCTCCAAGTCTCATCACCTTCTCTGTATACCCCGCACCCTCCTCCCCAACAGCTCCGCCGCCACAGCCTGCGTCGCGCCTCGCTGATGCTTCGGGAAACAGCGAAAGAAATTTTGCTGCACAACCGCTGGCAGGACCGACCGGACGTTAAGTCCGCTGGGCTCCTCCAGTCGCTGCCAAAACAGGAAATCAAACGACAGGAGGTACGCAAGTAGTTGTGCGTAGATGTGTGTGTGTGTGTTGTGTGTTGTGTGTGTGGATGTGTGTGGATGTGTGTGTGTTATGTGTGTGTGTGTGTTGTGAGTTACGTTTGCATTGTGTTGCATTGTGTATATTGCGTCTGTGATGTGCGTGGTTTGTATCTCGTTTGCCAGCTCCTCTGTGCTCACGCCACCGCTGCCCATGCGCTGTGTTGCATCTCGCCTGCTCCGACGCCCAGGCCATCTGGGAGATTGCCGTTTCTGAAGAAGCGTATCTGAAGGACGTGCACACACTGCAAGAGCTCGTGCTCAAGCCAATGCAGGTCAGCCTCTGTCTTGCATGGCGCGGTGGGATGGAGAGGAGGGGCTGTTGCAGTCTGCGAGCGGGTTGGAAGCAAGTCAATAAAAGCGAAAGAGAGAGGGGGGGGATTGTGTGCTCTCGGTGCTGAACATCAACCATTACACTCCCTTGACATCATCGCCACCTTGCATCGCAACACATCATCATCATCATCATCATCATCATCATCATCATCATCATCATCATCATCATCATCATCATCATCATCATCATCATCATCACCTTGCATCAATACCAGGAGCTGTTTCGTCGATCACGGAAACCGCAGCGCGACCCGACAACCTCCAACCTCAACTTGCGCGTACGTGTGTGTGCGTGCGTGCGCGTATGGCAGTTTGTTTTTGGTTCATATTCATGGTGTTGCTGCAATTGGCACCAAGATACGCTCACACATACATATCTACGCACACACACACGCACGCACACACACACACACATACACATGGTTGCACTGCTGCACAGTCGACGTCTGCGATGCTGCGGACGGTGGAGAAACTGCACAGTCAGGGGAGCGCGTTCCTGTCGCAACTTCGCATGAAGCAGGCAACCATGATGCAGGTGTGTGTCCGTGTTCGTGTGTACATACAGGTGTGCAGGTGTGTGTGGCTGTAACACACAAGAACGTGCAAACACACACACACACAAACACACACAAGAACGTGCACACGCCCAAAAACATGCTCACACACACACACACACTCTCTCTCTCTCTCACTCTCATGCACGACACTTAACCACCGCCACTGCTGTCATCATTATAACTTCACCAATGACTTCAGGTGGACAGCATCTCCGATGTGATTCTGGACAACATTGCCGACACGCTGCGGGTGTTTGCCGGCTACTGCAGCGTGTGCTTTCGTCTCCAGCGCGTCAACGAGATGAACCACAAGGAGCTCAAGGCCCTCTTCGAACAGGCTGCGAAGCACCCCATGGTGCGTGCGCGCGCGTGTTTGTGCATGTGTGCATGTGTGCATGTGTACGTGCGTGCGCGAATCTTCAGGTCAAACACAAATTTGCTCACCATCTTACTTGCTGTTCGTCACTGTGTGCCTTTGCTTTTCATCACCAACGTCCACAACTTTTGCCTGCAGGCACGCTGTCTTCCGATTGACGCCTTCATTCTCGCGCCCATCCAGCGCCTGGCCCGCTACCCACTCCTCGGTACGACACATGCGTGGAGCACAGTTGTGGTGCGATGTGTTGCGTGCGTTCGTGTGTATGCGTGTTTGCGTTCCTGTCGTGTGCCGGTGCACAAGCCACAACGACAACATCACACATGCGACACGACATTGTTCGTTCACACCCTGCGCAACACACACACACACACACACATACCCACACACACACACACGCACACATACACACACGCACATACATAAACACACACACACACATACACACAACCGCATGCACGCGCAACCACGTGCACACAACGTACCACCACGACCACCAGTGCAAGCGGTGCTGGCGCACACACCGGCAGACCACCCCGAGCATGGGCAGCTTGAGGAAGCGCACCAGCAGTTGACGGAGTGCGTGCAGGCATGCAACGCGCGGCTTCGCAGTCTGGAGGACTTTGCGCTGTTGGAGAAGCTCGACCAGCAGATGGACTACAACCGCTTGCAGCACCACACCACGCTTGTGCAGCGGTGAGCAAAGAGGCCGGGGTGGGATTGGGCTGGTGTGTGTGTGTGGGGGGGGGGAGGGTGTGTGTGTGTGTGTGTGTGTGTGGTGTGTGTGTGTGTGTGTGTGTGTGTGTGTGTGTGTGTGTGTGTGTGTGTGTGTGTGTGTGTGTGTGTGTGTGCGTGTGTTTG